AGGCTGGAGAGCAGTGGGGAGGTGCCAACTGGTGCCCACCGGCCGTGGCCAGGCTGGTAGGAAGTGCCAGGCTGGAGCAGTGCCCTGCAGGGTAGGCACCAATGCAAGAGCACAGTGCAGGTGACAGTGACAGGTGACAGGGCGCTGGGCTGGGGCTCCCCGCGGGACCCTGGGGGCTGCACAGCCCCGTGCACGGCTGGTCCCACAGTCGGGGTCCCCTTCACTGTCCCTCCAGAGGCTGTGGCTGCCTGGGAGGGGGCTGGGGTGGGCTCAGCCCCTCGTTTTGTTTGGGAAAACAACAGCCTTTTTGGAAATAAAGCTTGAGACACGGCGGCCGGTTGCTGGCAGGGGTTTATTTGGTGCTGTGGAGGGGTGCCATGCCTGTGCCAGGGTGCTGTGTTCCCCCAGGACTGGATGTGTGCAGTGAGGGATGGCTGGATCGCTGATCCTGGGATGGGGAGATGAGGTCCTGGGATGGGGCAGCGAGGGCTGGGGGGCAGCTGGGCAGGGCAGGTAGGATGGCGCTGACTGTGCGGGATCAGCCCAGCACTGGGGTGGTGCCCCCACCCACAGCAGCAGCACTGGGCTCCCCTCCCTGCCAGCCATCATCATCATCCTCCAGCCCCTCGGCCCCTGGCACAGCAGACGCCTCTGCTCCCAGCAGGGCAATGTAGTGGGAGCTGCAGTAGACGGGCGCCTTGTTGGGGCTGGAGTAGACCTGCTCGGGCCGCAGGGAGGCAAAGGGGTTGCTGGCGTAGCCCACGATGTGTGTCTCGAGCTCCACGAGGATCTGCAGGGAGGCCTTCAGCTCCTGCTCGCTGTGGGAGAGTGGAGGACAGGCCTGTCAGCGGGCAGCTGTGCCGGTTCAGGGGCCGTGGGGCTGTGGGGCTGCGCTCACCTGTACACAGTGAAGAGCACGGGCAGGCCATAGTCCCGCAGCAGCAGCAGGGTGGGCAGCCACCCCGCCAGCAGGTCTGGGCAGGCATGGAAACCTGTGGGGTCACAGCAGTGAGAGCTCCACCCCCCTCCCATCCCACCCCAGCCCCACAGCTGTGTCCCCCTGTCCCCACAGAAGGCAGAGGTGAACTCGAGGCTGCGCTGCCTCCAGGAGCTGAGGCAGGTGGAGGAGAGGTACATGGAGATCCTTGAGTCCATCTGCCAGGTGGGGACATGGTGGGACACGGGGGACATGGGAAGCATCTGGGAACATGGGGAGACAGATGTGTGGAGCTGGGGAAAGCCATCTCCAACTGCACCCACTCCATGCTAGGGACCCCAGGGCACATGGTGGTACTGGTGATAATGTTTGGAAACCCTCAGCAAAGTGAGGTCTGGCTCCCCACCAGCACAGGGGGCACTCCAAACTCTGGGTCCTGTGCTGAGCACAGCACCAAGCACTGGCAGGGACCCCTCTGACCAGCAGGTGGGTGACACAGGCAGGACAATGAGTGCCTGGTGGGGGACGAGGCAGCCACATCCCAGGGGATCACTGCAGCTGCCCACTGTACCTCGCTGCAAAGCCCTGGGCATGTCCCATGCCACCTGCAGGCTCAGCCCCAGGTGCTTCAGGGTGCTCAGGGTGGTTCCCGAGTCTCTACCCTGTGCCCTGTGGGGATGTTCTGCTCCCAGGTGTGAGGGTCCAGCCTCTTCACAGCACAGGCACTCACCTGGGTGAAATCCCACCACCAGGTCAGGACGGGCAGCCAGCTTGGTCTCCACGTGGCTTTCCCAGAAGTCGTGGTAGAGCCCCTTGTAGCTGCTGAGATAGACCCTTCCCCGGGGCGCTGGCGTGGCCAGGGGTGGCCTCATGATGGGTCCGTCCACCACGTCCACACCCACCATCACCATCTCCACGCCCTGGTGCCCCGGAAACATCCGTGTCAGCTCGTCGTAGTCCGTCGGCCGGGTATTGAGGGTCTCCACGTGGGAGGCCCCCACCACGTGCACGGTGAGGGGCTTGGCAAGGGGGTCGATGCCGAAAAGCCGCAGCCCCAGGCCGATGGTGAGCGGCCGTGAGTGGAAGTCGGTGACCAGGCGCCGGATGGACTGGCGCAGCTCCCCGTCCTCCGGCCGGGGCTTCCCAGCGTTAGCCCAGAGCAGGGTCATGTACCGCCCGGCCACGATGGCACCCAGCTTCTCCTCCAGCTGCTCCTGCATGGAGAACCAGTCCTCCCAGCCCTTCACATCCCGGGCAGGTTTTGTCCAGGTCTCCGTGGGGAAGGGGATGTCTCCTGGAGGTAGGGAGAAGGCTGGAGGGCGCAGTGGTGGTCCCACAGCTCAGGCTGCCCATCCCACCTGTGCTGTAGGAGTGCTAGAGGAGAGGGGCTGGGGGAGGGACCCTGCATCCCACCATGGGACCTGTGCAGCCCGGGATGGGGGTCAGGCAGGCTGGGGGGGATGTGTCCAACCTGTGAAGACGAGCCACTCCACCAACCGATCCAGGGCCACCAGCTTCAGCTTCTTGCAGAACTTCTTGTGCAGCGGCCAGTTGGCACGCTGGCATGCCACGCCACAGTAGTACACGTTTTGGCACCTGGGCAGACAGGCAGCAAGCCCAGCCATGGGGAAGGGGGCAGGATCTGTCCTGCTGAGCCTGGCTCACCCCCTCCCAGGGCTGCGTCACTGCTTTGGGGGTGCCCTCGGGTTGAAGGTGGGTGCTGGGGCCAGACACCCCTCACTGCACTCCAGCCACTGGGCTGGAAGTGAGGGATGGATCCATCCCTGTGCCATCAGACCATCCCTTCCATACCTCTTGCAACGTCGGAGGCTTTTGGGGTCAGGGAGGGCATCAGGGAGCTTCTTGCATTCAGCACAAAACTTGAAGGTGTCCTCCATCTTCTGGAACATGTCAAAGTAGGTCCGGATGCCGAAATCATTGCCACTCTTCCTCCCATCCATGGCAGACCTGCACATGTTGGGGGGTGAGCAGGATCCAGCCCACTGCAACCACAGTGGGGCTGATGTCCTGCCTCCGAGCCTGCCAGGATTTTTATCTCCAGCCAGGAGCATCCTGGTCTGGGTGGGGATGGGGAGCTGGGATCCCTGGAGGGGTGCACCCAGGAGCCCATCAGAGCCCACATATAGGCTGGGCCAGGAGGATGGGGTGAGCCAGGAGAGACACACCAGCTGTGGGGGGACACATGGGATGGCCTGGCCGGGGTGAGGTGGGGAACATGCACCCATGAGTGCTCACTCACTTGTAGTCCTCGTAGCTCTCCATGTTGAGCTTCTTTAGGATGACGTGGGACAGCCCCGGCACGTTGCGGTCCATGGCCTGGAAGCCCAGCGAGTCCACGTCCGGAGCCCTCGCCGCCCGCTCCTCCACGACCTTCTTGGGGCGGCCGGCT